CAAGAAAGCTTTCCTGGGGCCCCTGTCCACTTTCCATTGCCTGGGAGCAGGACCTCAAGCCCCAATTTAAGGACAGGGTGATGTTGGGGATGGGAACTGTGGGAGCCCTGGCCACAGGCCAGGTTTGGGGGAGGACCTAAGCTTGGGAATTTCCTGAGCTTCAGAGAAAACATTCTAATTCTCCCCTCTTCCCCAAACCACCCCAGATACCCCAGAAGCTTCAGCCCTAGGATTCTCTTCACACTCAGCCCAAGAAATAGAGATGTAAAGGCCTAAGTGGGGGAAAACACAGGGTGGGGGAGTCTTGACTGTGTGCCTTTGGGTCATTCACATTTCTAAGAGCCCAAATATTGGTCACAGTCTCCATAATGTTCCAACCAAGTCACCATTGCACTGCAAATAGCATTAAAATAATGAGATTTATAAATATTTTAATATCTTCATATTTAGGATTAGAAAAAACATTTCTCCCCACAAAATTTCTGGGAATTTTATAGCTCTATTTGGGGAAGGATATTTCAATCTAGTTATGGCTTCAAAATTGGTAACATTGAAATCATATAAATGGCCTGAGGAAGTAGGAAATAAAAGTTTCCACAAGGAACTGGAATCAGAAGTCCTGAGATCAGAATTCACAAGTTCACCACCTCAGAATTCTGAGAGTTTGGGTCTTCCTGGAACATGGGATCTGGGAGTTTCCCAACCTCCAAATTTGGAAATCTCAGATAGCTTCTTTGGAATTCAGTATTCCTCTAAGCTTTCCTGTGTCTGCATTTCAAGGTTGCCTTGGAATCCACTCCCCAAATTTGCAGAGCAGAAGGGCGTGCCTGGAGTCAGAGTTCAAGAACCTGCCCCTCCAAGGTCTGGGAAACAATCAATTCAGTCCCTTGGGGGAGAGGCTGCTGGCTGCTGGGAGGGAGAAGGGGTGTTAGCAGGAAACAGGCTGGGGAAATGGGCAGGTGTTAATGCTGTGGGAGTGCCTCCAGGAAGGATGGAGAGGGAGGATAGGACTTGACTGGGAGGAGCAGAGTACATGGGCACCCTAAGCGTGTGGCTAAGAGGACCACAAATAGAAGAGTCTGTTGGAGTCTAGAAAGCAGACAATGAAAGTACTAATGCCTGGGAGAGGAATGATGGTTCATGTTATCATTAATAACAGTAATCACTGGCGTTTGACAGTTTTATAAAGGGCTTTCCTCAAACATAACCACAGTTATCTTAGGGTGGGGAATAACTGGGCACAGTGGAGGGTAGATCTGGGCTAATCTGAGGTAGACACATGCATTTGGGACGCTGAGGGGTGTGGGAGATTGTGTGTAGTAGTTAAGCACATACCATGAGGGGTCGGATAAATCTGCTTTTGAATCCTAGCCTTGTTGCTTAGTAGCCATGTGACCTTAGACAAATAACTCAGCCACTCTGTGCCTCAGTTGTTTGCATCTGTAAAACAGGCATAGTGATAGCGCCTCCCTCCCAGGGCTCCTGTGAGGATCAAATGAAATTGTGCAATATGTGCTCAGGGCCAAGGTTCATAGTAAGTGCTCAGCAGATGATAGCAATGGCTCATTCCATAGCGGGGATGGGTGGAAGGGAAGGAACGTGATGCTGGCAGGGTCCTTCTGGAGCTTCCTTACATACTTCTACTATCTTCTAAGTCCACCTACCCATCGGGAAATCCCATATCCCTTCATTCAGTGAACCCTGGGTCAGGACTGTGGGGTCACAGACGTAAGTACAGTCTAGTGGCTATTCTCAAGGAGCATGTGAACGGAGACCCAATCTGTGGCAGAAGTCAGGGCATGACAAGGTCCCTGGGAATGACAGGGTGTGCCTGAGGAGGCTGGGATCAGGAGTGTGAGCTCTCCCAGCTGTGCCCCCTGACCCTGCAGCTTCATGCCTCAGTTTCCCTTTTGCCCCTTTGCCTTCTCAGTGGTAGCTGGGGTGGGGGGAGGTTGCAGACTGGGGCCATGAGCAAGAGCCTCTGTTTTCAGAGTGGGGATGAATGGGGAATAAGGCTGTGTTTGTGCAGAGCTGAGAAAGTGGATGGTGGCCTGCCTTTGGGGCTGGACAGTCCTAGCTGACAAAAGCCTTGCTCCCCACCCCCAACCAATAGAACCCCTTTTCTATTCCTAGGCATAGAGGATCTTTCTTGACCCTTATGACCCAAGTAAAACCAACTGTCCCCGGGACAAACCTTGCTAGCTCCTCCACTTCTACAAAAGGAAGCCCCTTCTATGGGGCCAGTGAAGCCCACTGGCTTGACTTTCAGAGTGGCAAGAATCCTGAGCTAAGGGCTTTTGGGTGAATGACCCACCTGCTCGTGGACTGAATCAACGCCGGGTAGAGGCAGTAGGCTGGGCCATCCAGAACACAGCCTGCAGGAGAGGAGTGGGGTCCTTTTCATTTCCTCGGGCCTTTGGGACCTTGGTGAACTGTAGCCCCAGCATCCACAGTGGCCCCTCTGCTCTCCCCCAGCTTCCCCTCTGCTGCCGGGTTAGTCTCCAGACCATGGCTCTGAGCAGGTGGCCTCTTCCCCAAGCTACGTTGCCTACAAAATGGAGTCCACACCCCTCACCCACCCACACCTGCTCCAGATCTGCCCAGTTCCATCTTCTCAAGGCCCTGGGCTCTTTCCATACTTCTGCCTGAAGGCCTATCAGACCTTCCTCCCTCCCTTACATCTCTACCTGTCAAATTTTGTTGCATCCTCAAAGCTCGCCTTCAAAATATATCCAAGATCTGAACACTATTTCCACCTCCACTGCTCCCACTCTGGGTCAACCCACGGTCAGCCCAGCCTCTCACCCGGCCTCTCAAATCGACTGCTTCCTTTCGCCTTTGTACCTCTAACCAGCATGAAACTGTTAACATTTAATTCAGAAACGGGTCACTTCTCTGCTCAGATCCTAGCTCAGAGGCGCCATCTCACCTTTTCTGATCTTCACTCTGCTCGTTATGCCTGGGTCACCCAGGAACTTTGCCGTCCCTCAGGCACTCCCAGGCAGCCTCACCTCAGAGCCTTTCTGTTGCTGTTCTCTGTCACTAGAACCTTCTTCTCCCAACCCCTGGCCACATGGCTTGCTGCCTCACCTCTTTCAGATCTCTGCTCACATTTTACGTGATTAGAGCATCCTGCCCTGACCACCCCATGTGAAAATAGCAACTCCCATTGACTCATCTATTGGTTTATTGGTTTTCTCCTCCAACCAGAATATGAGTTGAATGAGGGAAGACACTTCGTTCAGTGCCGTAACCCAGCTTCCAGAACAGTGCCTGGCACAGAGTTGGCCATCGTTAAATGTCTTTTTTATGAATGAATGAGTGAAAAGCTTGGCCCAGGGGCTGTCTCCTCTGTGAAGCCTGCCCAGCCTACTTAGTCAAAATTCATCTCTTCCTCCAGAGTGGCCCCTGCCACAGTCTCTTCTCTTGGAGTTTTCATTGCATTATCTTGTTTGTCTTTGCATTAGGTGTTCACAGGTCTGATTCCCGACTAGACTCCCACAGGTCTGGCCCAGAGAGCAGGACTGGATCAAGAGGGCCTGGGATTGGCTGTGGTGGGGGATGGGGAGGGTGGGTGTGCAAAACAAACAGACCCAAACCAAACACAAACAGATCCCAGGGGCTTTGGCTGGGCAAGTGACCTGGGATCCTGGGCAAGGAGATGGAACTAGTCCGGGCCTCCTGGCCAGGACTGAAATACCACAGACAGGCCACCAGCAATGGCTGTGCCTCTGGTGCTTCCTGAGAGCCCTCAGCAGCAGCTCCTTCTCCCTCTAGGAAAGACGGTCAAAGGTCTGGAAAGGGCCTCAAAGTCTGCGGAAGACCGTAGCCAGGATGGGCATGGAGCTGGTAAACACAGGCCCCCTGATCTCTTGGCAGGCCTGTGTTTTGAGCATGTGCAGGCACTGCCCCTCTCCTGGGCTTGGGGAAGTAACCCCCACCCCAACCGCCAGGCTTGCTGGCAGCTTCAGGAAACTCACCCTCTAGGGCCTTTTTAGCTGTCTCATTATCTTCTTCAGTTTCCTCACTTTTGAGAGTGCATAAAACATTGAGCCTTTCTCTTTGTCCCTGGGGGCCTTCAGAGCAGGCCCTCCTCCGTCAGGACTGTGTGTCCTGGTGGCCCTCCAAGTCCTGCAGCCCTCACATAGCCATTTCCAGGTTCGTTTCATAAAGAATGCCCTGTGGCTGGTCAGAGGCAAAGCCTTCATTGCATATTCTTGCTGATTCCCCACTGGGCTCCCACAGGCCTGGCCCAGGGAGTAGGAGGGCCTGGGATTGAGGGGGGAGGAGGGGAAGTGGGGTGTGGGGGAGACAGAGAAGCCAAAAGAAACAGATCAGAACAAAAACAAAACCCAGAAGCAGAGGCCTGGGGTCTGGGGAGCTTGAGAAAAACCCAAAGCACCCCCTGACCAGAGGCCTCACCAAGCTGGCTTGCCCTGTTGGGTCCTGGTGGGGTCTGGGGCCCACTAGGATTGGGGGTCACTTAGGGAGTACCAGAGGGAGGTAGGGGCCAAGACAGATGACCCTGGTAATAGGGGCTTTTCGAGTCATTCTGTTGGATGCAGAGTTCCCGCCCCCCACCCCCCAATGCTGCTCCCCTTCTGCCCCAGGGCCTAGCTGGAACAGATACACCAATGTCCTCAAGCATCTCTCGGGGCTGTCTAGGATGGTGAAACGCCCTTTAGGAAGGAGAAGAAGAAAAGCTGCATTGTGCGTTCTCGACTTCTATGCCAGCGGGAGGAGGTCAGGGGCCAGGGCTGTGTCTCACAGTCCTCAGCTGTCCCACCAGCCTCCCATGGGGCCGGAGGGTTAGACTCAGATACCAGAGAAGTCATGCTCTGATTCAGTGACAGAGGAGCATGATCCCTCACTGGGGTGCAGGGATGGCCCCTCAGGACAGCTGCAGGGCTCGCCCCAGCTGCTGTCCCCTCCCCCACCCCCGCCCTGCAGAGTGGTTTTTCTGTCTCCCATCTAGGTCTCAGAGGACTAATTAGGAAACTTTCTTCTCTTTTTGGTGAGATGACTGTGGGTAGTTTTGGGCCCCAGAAATGCTGAATCAGAATGTAGGAAAGGGACTGAAAAAGGAAAAGGTCAGCATCTTCATGTTTTACCGCCCCCCCTAGATCACTCTGATGCAGCTAGCCCAAGATCTAGATCCCAGCCTTCTGTCCATGCCTTGGGACCCCATGGCGGGGAGTTTGAATCCTCCATCTGGTCCTGGTGTGTCTGTGTCATCTCGTAAGTCATGTGAGCTTGTTGGGCTCTGCTTCTTGCCACTGGCAACACAAGAAAGGAAGCCACAGGACCCATTCCGTGGAACAGTGGTGTCCCAGGGAGCTGGGGGCAGGGCTAGGAGATACAAGGATAGGTCCTTCCGTCGCTCCTGCACCTTCACATTTTCCCATCCAGGGGCCATTCAATATGCAATGAAGGCTTTGCCTCTGACCAGCCACAGGGCATTCTTTATGAAACAAACCCGGAAATGGCTATGTGAGGGCTGCAGGACTTGGGGGCCACCAGGGTCCTGAATTGTCTTCTGCATCTGGCTCAGATGCTTCCCAGGGAACCATCAACTCAGTCAGGTTAGGAATCGCAGAGCCCAGATTTCAAAGGGATCTTTGGGATTCTCCAGTTCAGGGTGTCCTATCCTGCGGTCTCCGTGGCAAAAAGTTGCATTTATAATGAGTTGGGGCGGGGGGCAGGGAGGATTCTTAATGTTCACCAGATTCTCAAAGGGGTGCGTGTCTCAAACAGGCCCAACTAGTGCCCCAGGAGTCCCAGAGTCCAGGTCCCAGGCTGTGTGGTCATTGTAACCACCTTGACGTTTCATTTTTCTCAGCAAAGGCCCTCAAAGGTTTTGG